CTTTTATTTACTAATGCAGTGTGTGGCACGAATAAACACCCCCTACCTTTTTTGTTATTTTGTTCAATTATTCTTTTGAACATACACTGCTCTCAGATATTGTATGTTACCAATTCAGGATGTCCATTTCCTAGAGTGGCTTATCTGCCCAGTGATGTTTCACCTTCCTCAAACAGGTATTTGACCTTCTGTTGAGGGGCAGAGGACATGACACACATTTCACCAAAACTTAAATCTACATTCAAATGCAGCAGTACTGACAAACAACTTGGACCAGCCTGTATAGCTCAGCGCACGTAGCCTGAGCAAATGAACTCCTCCTTGCTCCTGTGTGTGACTGGCTGCTGCCTCCAATTAGGGAGGATGAGCAACTGCAGTCTGCGGAGCTGCTGAGCTCACACAGCGCAAGGGGTTTCAGTACCTCTTCACTTGAGAAGGGAGCAAACTGAATACAGTGACATTTCCTCCAACAAAACCACATCTGTTCATGTGCCTTTATAGGGATTTTTAACAAAGGGCTCCAAAGCCCAAGTTCAGCCACGAGTAAGGAAGAGGATTTGAAAACTAATTTCTGATACACTTCTTCCAGATTATGGAGGCCTTGGTATCAGTAATATACCCATACATATGGTGGGTTAAAGAAAGAAAGAAAAAAACTAAATACTGCTTAGAATACAAATGACTCTGAATTCATTGCTGTAGAATCAAAATAAAAGATTTAAAATACATATGGTGACTGTACTAAATTAATTATTAAAGGAGGGCCATATGGAGAAAAATCATTTGCAGGAATAATACAAGCCTCCCAATAAGCTGTTATCTTTACATCATTTTTAAAGTTTCAAAATGTGTGTGTGCATACATGCTTCTATATAAACATGCAGCTTCACATATCATACTGCACTGTCTCTTAAGTAGTCAGATTCTTTTATTATTATCTCTAATTATTCACACACCAAAATATGTTGCTCTGGTTTAGCTTACACTTAGATGTACATAATCATTATTTTCCATGATAGCACTTCAAAACTCCCATGTCCTTCTCTATGCACAATATGCATTAGACCTTTCCAATTACATCAACTGCTGGTTTATTTGTTTTATTCCTGTGCAATGATGGCACAACTTGTAAATGATTTATCTAGAACGAGCCATCCACCAAATTGCATTTCCTCCTCCTATAGAAAGGTCCGAAGATGAACAAAAGATTTAAGCTGCTGCTTTTAAACAAAACATACCGGTATCATTCAGTTTGTATTTAGTACCTGTTTTCTTTAAGAAATGTGTGCTATCAACCTCTTTTTCCCCTAAATTTAATTTCCTGTATGTTTGTGTACCTGTCATGTTTGTGATCTTTACCATTATTATAGTGGGTAAAACAAAAAGGGAAGGCAAAAAAAAAAAAAAAAAATCAAGCAAGAAATCTAAACATTTCCAGTCTCCTGTCATTCTCTCTAATTATTTAGAATGATATAAATTCTGATTAACACTAAATACTAGTGATATCATGAAAGGCAGCCCTATCCATGCATCTTGACATTTTTAAGTGTTGCCAAATCTCTCTTCTTGCTACCACTGCTAAAGAAAATCCTCAAATACACACACACAAAAAAACCAACCCCAAACCCACACAAATCTGATTTCACAAAAGGCCACACTGGTTACTCATTTGCAGACCTGCGCCTCCATTTGCAATCCACCCCTAGCTGGAAAAGTCCAAGTACACGTGAAATGTCAACCTCATTCATCCTTAAATATTTTCCTTCATTATTCAACACATATTTATTAAATGGAGGCCATTGCCAGAAGATCGGTAGGATAACTGTGTATTATGGAAGGGACCTTTCTATCTTTACATTTCAACTGTACAGAGTTTCAGAGAACTATCCTGTTTTCTCATGAGAAACAAAGTATTACTATGATGATGCAGGAAGAGAGGTGAGAGGAAAGGAAGCTTTGTGAAATGCAAATCCAATGGTAATGGAAAAAATGATGGAAAACTTTGTTGTATATTAAGTGTGCTCACACGATTTAGGAACTCTTCAGAGTTGTGTCAACTTTTACAGGCAAGACAGTATCCTCCCAAATCCTTAACAGCCAGAAAGTGTGCAAGCCACATGAACCAAAGTTTTTTTTTCTGGTAGTTCATTAGCTGCCTACCAGCTCACCAACACAACCCCCTTGCAGCCCCACACCACTCTCCCCCACAGAGCCACAACCAGCTTTTCAGGCAGCATCCCTGGCTGCTTCCACGTTGATGACACGGTGAATATCATGGCATGCCTGCAAAAATCACTTTAAAAAACAAACAAAAAAAACACCTCAAAGCCACACAGCTACGCAACTCACCTCTAGATCTGAAATAAGCTTACATACATTTAAATACATTTAAGACGGCTGCTCACAGATTAAAGCCATGTTGCTTTGATTTAGCTTCCTGCTTCCCCACTTCACCACCGCAAAAGATGGAATTACCCTACTGTAAAAATATTGGCAAGGAGGATCTGCACCAAAACAGAGGCTGCCCAGGCACACACTGCTCCATCCATGACATTGATGTGCATGTCGAGTATCAGGCATGTTTTCTTCTTCCAAACTGAGTCCCCCCTCAATCCTGTGCTAGCAGGATTCAAAGACAACCTTTCATGCTGTGACACACAGCAAGGCCCTGAAATGGGTCACCAGCTCTATCCCCCAGCAGCTGCCATCCAACTGCTGCTGTGCAGGGCTTCCTTGCTGGGAAGGAAGCTGGGGCTTCCAAGCAGGAGCCTGGCTACCAGCACTGGGCTGCCAGAAGTAACCAAAGCTGGATGAGGAACAACAGGGCTCTGCCTCTCTCACAGAGTGACTACTACAGCTTTTTCAAGCAGGTCACAGGGCAAAAATCAAGGGAAGGAGAGTGAACGGCAAGAAGAGCAACTGCTGGTTCCAATGATTTCATGTTCCTTCTATATGCAATTCGTAGAGAGAACAGCTGATTTTTAGTACCCTCAAGTCTTCCATGTTTAGTTGCTTTCATGTTCTCTTTAACTTCTCCCATCTTAAACAAGCAAAACCACACAGAAAATAAGTCAGGGGAACTGCTTTGCTTGACTTCCAGCACCCAAAGTTACACCAGGTTTCCTGAATTTTACCTGATTTTATGATGCATTGCATCATTTAACATTTGTATATTGATAATAGTGATCTCTAGATGTGCTTATTTTTGAACAATCTGAGCCAATTCTGAAAATGGAACAAAACTACTGAGCACCATAGATAAAGCTCAGTTAAAATCCTGTGCTGGCTCTTCTAAACTGGTATTTGAGACCATACACCTCATCAATATTATGGATTAATATTGACTTTTGCTCTGCAGCTCATGGCATTTCTCCAGTTGTATTTAATGGTTATTACTACAATTATCTGCATTTTAATTTTTCAGCATTCATATTTTTCTACTATTCTCTCCAACAGATTTCTTTATTTTCTTGGCCCACTGCCCTTCCTCACATTGTCCATAATCCATGGAGAAGAGATTGCTGATGGCATTATCACAGGCAAACAGAATGAAGCTAATGGTAACAGGCACTCCTTGCTAGGTAATTATTAAAGGAGAAAGAATGCAAATGAGCCCTAATCTGTCTCATACAATAGCAGAGGTCTCCGATTTGAATTAAACCTTTTGCAGCCTCTCCCAGGCCGGGGATTCTGCAGATAAGAACGCATCTGCAACTCGGGTTGCCCCTTCCTCTCCCGCCGGGCCTAAATAGTGCCCCCAGCAGGTACAGTTGTCCCTGAATGACTTTCCCTTCCCCCGATATTGCTCCGGTCCCCTTCTCGTTTCCTCTTCCCCCCTCAGCTTTGCTAGGAAAAAAAAAGAAAAAAACACGCAAACAAACCTAGCTAACCGTGAATGCCATTTTGGCTTGATTCATGTTTACAATGAAGAAGAAGAAAGCACTGTTTTGTAATTATAAGAGGGGAACAGACATCAGGAAATCCATCCTATTCCTAGCTATGTCATTTGCTTGCCAGGAGACTGCAAGGAAATAACTTTGCTTTTCTGTGCATCCATGTGTTCAGCTAGAAATATAGGGTTGACATTTGCAGTGGCCCAACAGATGCTTTCATTTTACAGTGGCATCTACTGAACACTTTCAGAAATTAAATGCTAGACTTTGCTTAAATCTAGGTTGAGCTCATGATAAGCTATCATCCTCTAGAAGAACCACTGCCTAGATCTCAATTCTCCATCTGTTAATAGGCTGTAAAGAATGACATTCTTTTCCAGCACTGTGTCCCGCTATAAAAGAACCTAAACTAACACCCGCCAGTGGGGGCTATGCTCAGTGCCCACAGAGGTGTCTGCCCACTAGCAGGACTTATAAAAAGGTGGTGTAGGAATTGTGTTTGAGCTGGTCTGATCACTGGTGACATCAGTACAAAACACCATTTTCTCTTCAGTTATGGCTTGTTTGGATTAGGAGCATGGGAGTCAAACGTACTGAACCTTTCCAAAGGAGTTCCTAACTTGGAAGCAAACCTAGCGTGCGAGGTGGAAGTCTTTTTCCAACACAAATGCCTTCTTGAACACTCATTTTCTTCTTAACATTTTTTTCAAATGAGACAAAATACAGTAATATTTTATTTTGAAAATTGATCTTTAAGAATCAGAGAATATCTGCCACAAAAATGCCTCTTCTGTCTACTGACAAGGCAACAGACTACCAAGCTCTCTATAGATACGTAGCTTCTCAGCACATTAAAAAAATATAACAAACCAAAACTATACACACTGTGAGGAATGATTTTGAAATCAAGATGAGCCACCAAATTCAGCTGAACATCGTCACTACTATTCCAGCAGCACTAGAGTCCTATCCACAGATGCATACAGTCTTTACAGCAGGCCTAGAGTGGGACACTGAGGGACCTTCAAGAGACAAAAAAATTCAAGCAGTCACCAGAAACCAGCACAGTGTCACATGACTGAATATCACCACTCTCAATTACACCATTCAGATACATTAATCATCCATTGCATGCACTCTGGAGACAGCACCACGCTTTGTTCTTTCATCCGTAAGAGATTTTTCTTGCTTTCCAAATTTACCAATGCCAACACTGGCAAGCAGCTCCTCTGGAAATCGTTTGTATTTTTAAAGCCCCAATAGCTGTCTGAATTGGGTAAGTACTGTAAGCATAGTCCCTACTAAACTATTGCCAGAAATTAACAAATGGTGGTGGTTGTTTCATTTTGATGTCTGTTTGGGTTTGATTTTTGTTGGTTTTTTTTTGGGGGGGTGGTGTTTGGTTTTTGTTTTGTTTAAAAACCCCAATGGTTAAAACATCCACAGCTACAGAAAGGGCTATAGTGTTTTAATGCCATGTTACAAGTTAAATTTTTCAATAATGAAAGTTTCACAGATTTCTATCTCAGGGAGCAGTATGTGAGGTACTGCTACTTCTTTATGTTTCTTTATTAATGGATTTTGCTATGCTTGATCTCTAAATCAGACTAATAGGTTGCTAGGATCTTCAACCAACAGCAGTACTGGGCACAGGTACTATATGGTACAGTCATTACACAAAAACAACCAGTAGCTAGTTAAAAACCAAATGTACTTCTATTTAAATGATGGTCTGGCTCCATTTTGATACCGAGATTATCTGAAAGGATAATCTGCACTGATATTTTAGGCTCTTGCCACTTGGAAGGAAGGTGGTACAAGGCTATGAATGAAAAACCTTTACATCACAAAAGCAAAAGCTGTCTTGCACTGATTAGTTCACATAAAACAAAGAAAGGGATTTTCATTCAACTTATTCATAAAGCTGCAAACATTTTCCCATGTAATCTGTGTGCTAACTTTCCAGTGCTAGAAAGCATTTCATTCAGAATACTGCAGCTATACAATACAAGAAGGGGGTATTTTTAAATCATCAAGGCATGACAGCTATCAGAATGTAAAATTTCTTGCATTGCTAAGAAGCTCAGGTCCTGACTTACTGCTGATCTCTAAGCTGCTCCTCGCTAGTGACCAGTTACTAACAATGGCCTACTGGCACCATTTTTATACATGCATAAAAACCTTCTTCAAATACAAGTGTACTTATAGAGATCCTCAGATGCTCACCCTCACTTGAGAGTCAGATTACAACACTCTTGTTAGACCTGTTGTTAGCATCAGGGCAGAGAAAGTCAGGTGGGACAGCTCAAACCAACTTCACTGCTACCTGAACACACCCAGGTGACTGCCTGAAGTGGACACAGCCATCTCACACCTCCTCCCACCTGCAGACCTTGGGGAACAGCGGCCACAGATGTCTCTACAGGGAACCACTGCTCACACCATCATCTAAGCCATGCACTTCAGGTTGGCTCTCACATTAAGCATTAACTCAATCAGTTCAGCTGCGTTGCTGAGTAGCCAGTCAAATATTTACAAGGTTTTTAGAAAGTGCTACATTAACCTCATCCTTTCAGTGTGAAAACAAGTTTCACGATTTCTTACTCTATTTTGTGTATCCAGAAGTTACAATTCTGAAGCTTTCAGACTCCCAACACAAAGTTGTTAGAGAGGAAAAAAATCCAAACAGGAAAACTAAGAGGGACTCAATGCATACTGTAGACAAAATATTGGCACCACATGCAGTGCTGGCAAGCAGAGCAGCATGCTGTGTTCCTAAGGGAGATAGCAAGTAAAATCCAGCTCCTAGAGCTGGTGATTGCAACCTCACCTGAACAGCAGCCTTCCCTTTGTCAAGATAGTCTCTAGGTCATTTTATGGTAAAGACAAAAATTGCCAGTGTGTTTTCAAGTATCTCGGCAGCTTTTCCCCCGCCATTCTCACCAGCCTTTTGAGAGTTTCCCTCTATAGCAGCATTCTCCGTTTCAGGGATTCAACCTTTCAACTGAAGCATGCGAGATCACTTATACTCTTGAAATGGTGGAGCTGCCAGCCTCCCCTTTGTTGCAAAGGGATTTACACTTGAATGGCGGTGGGAAGCACAGTCTTTTAAGGAAAGGCTGGTGGGGGAAGACAATTTACTTGCCAGCATCCTATTCTCACATCACGTTCAAATACCATTTCAACTTCTCCCGTTCACAGAACTACAGTAACCTTATCACATTGCTAATTTGTAAGGAGTTTGCTGTGAGGTGACTTTTATGAACTTTGAGTTTACTTCAAAAAGGATCTTTATACACAGTCATAAGTGAAGTTAATTTCAAGCCTAAATGTGGACATTTACATTAATTTAATTTAGCCCCAGATAAATGGCTTCACCATTCCACAAAGCTTCCCTTATACATGCCATTCACTTACTCTATGACTTTTTAGCTATTTCCCACTATAGCCCTGCATTGCCATGCATATTGTAGCACATCTGATGGCTTCTACTGCTTTTCAAGAGACACACTGGGGAACACTACAACAGCACAGATGCACTGTTGAGGGTAAAGGATCATTTGAACACGAGTAATCAAGTCTGCTCCAGTTCAGTCAGTGGCATGCTTGGCTTTGCCACTCCACCTAAATATATACAAAAGTAGCATCTCAGTGGTGCATTTCCTAAGTTGCAAATTGGTAGATAACTACCAATTGCTTTCAGGCTATGTGAGCAGTTACCAGGCAGTATCATATTGCTGCTTTTCAAACAGCATCACACTCGTAAATCCACACATGGTTTTTGCTTGCTTGCTTGCTGTGTAAGCATAAAGCCTGCTAACTCAAAGAAAAATAGTATCACCCAAAGTATGAAAGTTGGCAAATGCTAGTCTCTGGCAAAGAGAGATCTGCAAGCAACATTTCTCCTTCTGTTTTTAAAATGTTATACCTGCTTCTGATTCATTTCAGTCACCTGCGTTCTGAGTGTGCCACACACTGAAACACAGACAGCATGGCCTGCAGAGTGCAGCAAGGAAAAGGCTATCGCACTCCGAAGCTGGTGGCAAACCACAGTCCCCATGAAAACCACATCTGCCAGACACCAAATATTTTGCATTTTGTTTACTGCTAATAAGGCTGCTTCACTTCATTAAAAGCAGCTTATCATTTTATCTAGTCACTCCGATTAATTAACCTCTGGTTAGAACGAATGAACACTTGATTTGAGGATTCTATTAATGTGACACTGGTGAACTACCACTGGCATACTTCCATCCTTTTCCTTTTACTCTTCATTCTCCTTATACCAAGTGTCTTACTAGGCCATTTGGACTGACACCCCACTATCCCCTGAACATACCACAAATGCTTTTACAGAGAGGTGAGGAAAGAAAAGTCCGACAGCCCAAAACTCATCCAAGGCTCTATTCCCCTGCTGGAATATACAGATGGATATCATCTGCTTCTCACTGTAACTCTGATTACAAGCTTGGAAAGAAACAGCATGGAAAGAAGAAGGAGCCAAGGAAATACACTGGGTTGCTGGGAACAGGGAGAAAACAACAGTACCATTAATACAGACAACTCATTTGTCTTTCCAGAAAAAAAAAATACTATTTTAAATATGAAGCACAAACAGCAGTCAGTTCCATCAAAAACCTGACTTTCTTAGACAGCGAAGAACTTTCTCCTAGCCAAATACCATGTGCTGTATATGAATAAAGACAGCTTCTGCTACAGTATATGCCTACAGATTTCACAGTTGCATATGAACGCCAAAATCTCAAGTTCTAGCAGCAAAATCATATGTCACCATTATTTAGCCAAGCATCTGAAGACTGAAATACATCATAGCTGCTCATTTTGCTGGCAAACAGTGTTTTGCTTCATATACCAAATTTTCATCTCTATTCAATTGATTTCATGAATGTCACAAATACTCAAATGTGTTTGGGAAGAAAAACCAAACAAATAAAACCCCCACACAACACTACCCCACCACCTTCCCCTTTTCCTTCCCTGTTTCTTCCTTTATCTTCCCTGAGAAGTTAAGCATCCATTCTTATCCATTCTTTTGCAACAATGCCCACAGAGAAGATGGAAGGATCATTAAGCCTAAAATCTTAACAAATTCATACAGTGGAGAAGAAGGTGAGAGGAAGGGGGAATCTAAGTCCCAGAGTCGTGCTAGGTCTAAATTCCTGTCCCATCATGGCAAACCGCAAGTAGAATATTACTGAAGTGACTGGAAACTTTGTATTTATGCCACAAGCAATTTAAAAGGTCTCTTTCAAGAGAAGAGCCCGTTTAGGTTATGCAACACAGACTATAAGCACAAGCCTGAAATTCATGGTCCAGCCAGACAAGGCTGCACGTGAGAAGGCACCAAGGAAGATCTGGTTTACATCACGCAGCAGGGCAGTAAGTGACCATGAGTCACTGATGCACTTCATCGGGCTTTTAAGGCCATCAGCACCAGATCAAAAATGTTTCAGACCCCATTTTATAAAGCACCTTCCAGTATAAATTTACCCAGCCAGTTCAAATCTGCACAGAATTTTTCAGACAAAATTTCTTTGTAACAAAAGGCTTCCTGCAGGATCAAGTACCGTCTGTCCTGCAGCTGACATGATGCCAGCGCAACTCTCTGCTGTAATGCCTGGGCTAACTGGAGTCTTCCCATGTGGTAAAGCCAGAAAGGATGAGACAGGACGATGATCCCTGCCACCACCACCACCTTGGCAATAAGTAGCACCCAGCCCTCCCAACACCCCTGGCAGCATCACATTTTCTAGACCTTAAACAATGCTTATACCTGATACAGTAGAAGAGACATAAACAAAACTGTAAAAGATGGTTTTGAAACACCAACTCATGATTTTGGGTTCATACTTTAAAATACTTGGTTTAGGGAAGAAAAATTCAGCTAGCTGGATTTTTGTTATTCATTTTTTTGAATGGGCATATTGTTGAAACATATATGGAATTTACAGGCATCATTACATCGCTGAAAGATGGAGCAATATGCACCCAGATGGGCTATTCCTTTGCAGAGGAGAACAGGTTTCACTTCTACGGAAATCTGGCAACAAACCAGGTCTTTTTCCACTGCTAACTTCAACAACATTCACATCCGATTCGGGCCTTCCAGCTTTCTTTTTGAGGGACTAACAGGTAATATAAGCAAAAGCAAACTACCAAAACCTGCCACCTACACTAATATCCATGTGTTACACTTCATTCCCCTCAGCCACTAATAATGGATTAGTGCCACAGGCTCTTTCCAAAAACTCCTTC